GTATTACTGACAGAGGGCAGAAAATGGACAGAGGGCTTTTTTCTATTAGTGACTATAACATTATTACGGGTTATTCACTAGTTTCTATATGTAAATTTGGGACATGGTGGAGAGGTGTACCTTCTCTGATTAGATGTGGCCACTATTCTATGGCATATTTGATGATAATAGTGACAGATTCTGGATATTATCCCTCAGGTCCAGGATAGAACACAGTCAGTGTGAGCAACCATACCCAGAGGTACTGGAGACTGGAGTAGAAAGCAGTTTGACAATAAGCCAGAGCAAAATTTTTTTTGATGTGCTATGTAGTCACTATATTCCCTGTTGCTTAAGATAGCTCTTTTGCTTAGTAGAATCTGTGACCATAACTTGAAGATAACACAATTCTAACTTCAACAGGTGTGTTTTCTTTCTTATTCTCTGTGGTAGAGGACTAAGAGTTGCATGTGAGCTTTTTGTTTTGTTTTGTTTTTTGTTGTTGTTGGGGTTTTTGTTTGTTTGTTTGGTTGGTTGGTTGGTTGGTTGGTTGGTTGGTTGGTTGAGATAGGGTATCTCTTTGTAACAACCTTGGCTGCCTGGAACTTACTCTGTAGACCAGCGTGGCCTCAAACTCAGAGATCCACCTGCCTCTGTCTCCTCAGTGCTGGGATTAAAGGTGTGCATTATCACTACCCGGTGCATGTGTTTTATTGTATATGCTCTTGACATTCTATAATGGGTCTGTCACTGCTTTCCTCATTATATAATTATATGACTACTATGATTCACAATCACTTTATGCATGCTTAGGGTCTACTGCAGAGAACAATATCTCCTATAATTTTAAAGTTTATTCTTAATCAGTGTATTAGTAATGTTAGTGAATAGTTTGCTATGAGTTTTAATAACATTTTGTTATATTAATCAATACACATTTGAGAAGTTTTGGATTTTTAGTTTGCATCTTCAATGGTCTGACTGATACCATTTTGATACTTATCTTATTTCCCTTTCAGCTAATTGCTATAACTGGGTACTTTTCAAACTGGGTAATAAAAATAGGGGCATATGCTACAGTTTTTCCCCTCATTCATGTGGAAACTATGTGGATAACTTCAGAATAGCTGAAATATAAGGAGTATCAAACATGGTTCTTCATAATTCAGCCCTGGGCTATCATTATGTCCTCTTCAAGCATAGGCATTGTTTCGGCTACCATACTGGGTACTGATGAGACAGTTTTCTTAGAAGTGCATAGTTTGTTAAAGAGGATGAAAACCACATCTTATATCCATATAAGACTCCTAGTCATTTTAGAATGGAAGTAGAAGCAGACACCCACAACTGATCATTGAACTGAACTGGAATCCTGTTGCAGGGAAGAATGAGTGATGAGCAAAAGGGTCCAGACCAGGCTGGTGAAACCCACAGAAACAGCTGACCTGAACAACGGGGAGCTCTTGGTCCCCAGACTGATAGCTGAGATACCAGCATGGGACTGATCCAGACCCCAGAAATGTGGGTTTCAGTGAGGAGACCTCGAAAATCTGCAGGACCTCCTGTGGTAGTTCAGTGCTTGTCCCTAGCATAGGTGTGGATTTGGGGAGCCCATTCCACATAGAGGGATGCTCCCTGAGCCAAGACACATAGGGGTGGGCCTGGGCTCTATCCCAGGGGATATGATAGATTCTGGTGACCCCCTATGGAGGGCCTCACCCTTCCTGAGGAGCAGAGGGGATATGTGATAGATAGGGTTTTGGTTGGGGAAGGGGTTGGTGAGGGAGGAGGGGAGGGAGAGGGAAGTAGGATTGAAATGTGGACCAGTCTTGTTTCTAATCAAATAAAAAAAAAACATGAAAAAAGGAAAAAAAATATTATCCCCCTCTTGCTCACTTAGCATAAAGAATAACGTAGGCATCAATAGAAATGCAATTATTACTGCACAGTTGTCCAACTGTGCCTGCCTTTCATTCTCTATTGTTCAACCTCACCAATTTTAATATATTTTGTATAATTTTATTGCATGTTTCTATTATTGTCTGACTAATACTGCCGTAATATTAGCCTCATTGGCCTTCCTGATGACACACAGTGGGATTTTGTGTGTGTGTGTGTTGTTTTCTTGGATTTTGAAGTCACAGTCATTGGAACAGGGCAGGAAGATTTGTTGGAAGAGTTCTGTCTTTTAGGTTGAGAGCATGTCTGTCCAAGCTAACGAGGTCTTGGTGTTCCTTTGTGCTCTCTCAGAGTCAGTGGCAGAGAATTTTTTTTTTTTTACTCACATCAGTATTCTTACTCTTTAATGTTGAATAAAACCTCTCTTTAGAAGACAATATGGCCAAGGTTCTAGCTTCCGCTGACTTTCTCACATATGGTGACATCACTTCTACAGTAGAGTCATCTCCCTGGGCCTTAATATGCAACTCAAATAACTATAAAAGTCAAAACCTCTTCTTCTCACAAAATATTATTCATTGTCTTTTTCTTTTTTGTGTAATGTGTGTTCTTTGACCCCTGGAGAATTTTTGTTTGTTTGCAAGCTAATCATACTTTGGCAAAGATGTTTGTTGTAATATAATCCAACATTTTTGAGCACAAATGTGAGAGTATTTAGTGTTTTAGCTAGCTACATCAGGCCAACAATTCATCATGGTTTATTCTGCTGGCATATTTCTGTTTTCAATATTTTGGAACATGAAGTGAAATGGACCTATATAAATTACTTAATGGTTCCTCAATAAATGAAAATTAAATGATATCCCTCATACATTATTCAAACATATTCTGAAATTCCTTCCTTTGCTAAGATAAATTTCCATATTTCTTTGTCTCCCTACAGCTCTTTTCGTGAAATATTGACTTTACAGAGGACATATTTACTCTTGACCACTATTGCACCTTTTCCCCTTTGTCTTTACATACATATACAATGTTATTATTATCAGTATGCTCATATAACCTAAATAATTTTAGTACTTTAAATGCAAATGATTACATCAGCATATTATTTGTTGCTTTATGCTTGGAATTGTATTTTCAAAACTGTTTTATCATTTAAAAGGATTTTTGCAAATATAATATTCATATTATTATATAAATTCTATGCAAAAATCTGAGTACTACAATTACTTCTACTTTTATATTTTAAGAAAATTTTAAAACCTCAGATCTATATTTTGAGATGCATAGTGTATCTAAAAATGATCTCCAAATTTAGATAGTGGATATATATCTAGGTCGGCTAATCTAAAAATTTAAAACTGGAACATGTATAAAAATAAGTCTAGAACATAAAAATGTAAGAAAATATCCTTTGCATTCTCACAAGAAATAGAAGAAAATGCATGCTCTACAAACAGGAAAAAAAATGTTGGGAATTCTTTCTCTGTTCAACCAGCAGATGTCATGTTTGGGTGTCAGAACTCAAAAGTGTATTCCTGCTATGATTATGTGTGACTTACAAATAAGAGAGAATAAATATAGAGTATCAGCGAAGACGTTTCATGAGTGTTTTTAAAAACTGTAGAATGTCTATAACCGTGACAGTATTTATTACCAACAAATGCTATTTTCATACCATGTAAATCTTATCTCCTCTTTAATTCTAGATAGTATAATTATTCAATTAACAGTGAAGCATTATCAAACTTATTTTTAACTTTTGAATCAGAATCAAGATATTACTATGTCTGATTATTTTCCCATATCATTTTCACATGCCATTGATATGTCTGTTCTAGCTCAGAATTCCTTCATCTGCCATATGAGCTATTTCAGTTCATCTCAAAAATGTTGTGACATACTGCTCCAGGAAAGTTATTGCCGAGTCTGTTTATTCACAGAATGATTTTACGTTTAGTTAGCTGGTTACAAACTAACATCAGTTTACTGATACTATAACAGTTGTCATAAATTGGGCAGATTAAAACAATAAAATCTGTTCTCATTGAATTCTAGGGTCAGATGTCCAAAATGTATCTATTAAACAGAAGTGAAGGCCAACACTAAGACAAAAATAATTCTAGATTTCACAGGACAATTCAAAAACCCTGCATACACTATTGATGCTAGGATTTTGATAAATGTTACCAGAATTCAGATATTTAGTACACCTTCTCTAATTTTACTAACAAACTGGAGAACATTGCATTCCTCTTATGTGTCAGCACTAAGGAAGCTCTTCTAGGTAATGAGTATTTTGCCTCGTGTTTCTAGTTTCATTTATTTGTTGTGGGGCTAGAGTTTGATAAAAAGTACTCTGTATTTATTCATCCAAGTTTCAAAGCTTTAAATCATAACTTTTAGACCTACTGACCACAGGGAGCACAAACACAAGTTTCCTTTTTATCAGTTCCCTCCCGCCCTGGGAGTTGGTCATGAATCTTTCACCACACTTCTTCAATGATACTTCATTTTTTAAATTTTCTTTCTCTTCTGTACTTGCTCTCTCAAGTTTGATGGCTCTTATCTTCTCATTGTTTTTAGCCTTTGATTGTATTAGTTCTCAGAACTTAATCTTCCTTTTCTCAGTGTTTGAAATCTCTTCAGTAATCCCCTCATTCCCAGAACTCTAATTTAAGTGAGTATGCCTTTGCTCCAAGACCATACCTCCAATCCTTAATGCTCTCTTATTCCAGCCTACTTAAATCCCACTACATACTTCAAATATCCAATTTATCACTCAAATTGTTTCAAAACATGTCTTCCTGAATGTCTCTCCAAAAGCTCAATCTTTCAATATCCCTCTGTTACAGCTGGTAGAAATTTCATTCTCAGAACGGCTTAGACTATAACCTTGACTTTGTCCTTGATTCTCTTTTTCTCATACTGCTAGTCAAGTCACTCTTCATGCATCTATTCACAAAATCAAGCAGGAAATGGATTTGACTTTAATAATATGGCTTTCAAGTAGAATTCCTTATGGAAGATGGAACATAAAGTGATAAGACCAAGAGAACAGTAAGTTTGTTGAAGGTCTGATATGTCTGTAGTTACATTGAGTCACTTTCTGCTTCCAGGAAAGGCCTATGCGCCAGAATTCTATTATGACACCTACAACCCTGTGTGGCAGAACCGACACAGAGTGTATTCCTATAGTCTACAGTGGACACAAATGAATCCTGATGCAGTGGATCGGATTGTCGCATACAGGTTGGGTATTCGGCAGGTAAGAAATTTAATATCTGTTTCAAATTTTTTTTGTTTTCTTGTAATTTCTTGTTGAGAGTTTGTTCCTGTAATTTTTATTCATGTTTTCAATGTATTAAAGAATTATTTTTAATTTCTAAGTTTCATTTTATGACAATATTGTTTTATAGAAACCACTCAGAATTACCAATCTTTTTAATTAATCTATGCATTTTTCTATTATTTCAGTAAACCTATTAAAGTAATTAACTCTAAGCTTGTTGAAAGTTATATATTTCTAGATGTGTCCAAGAAATTATATTGCACAATGCCACAAAAGGAATTTAGGATGTTCTTGTTATTCTTGACTGTATGAATTCATTGCCCTTTGTCCTAAAAGGCTAGATGTGTTACATATTTTCACTTTAAGGTTCAAGTTATATACAGAATGTTTTAAAAGTTAGTATGTCTGAAGAATATAAATAATATAGAAAATTGAAAAGTGATAAATTATTCTAATTTACCTGCTATTATGAATGTGTGAAATGATTTATATATTCTTTACACTAACACTATGAAATTCAATGCTTGTTGATATAACTGATAATTTTGAAATTATCTGTAGATCTTCAATGTTTCATGTTAGAGACATATTTTCTATGTTAATGTTTCTATATGGCAAATTATTTTGAAACAAAACTTTGAATCACAAATAGATTTTTAGTAAATGCTCCAATTCCTTAACTAAAACACAGAATGAGAATCTGAGTTGGGACAATAACAGGAGAAATTTGCTTGGAGATCAATTGCTAATCCCTGTCTTTGTTAAGGTTTCTTCGATTGCTGTGAAGAGATACCATACATATGGCGCCTTTTTAATTATAAATTTTATTTAATCTAGAAACAATCTTACTTTACATATAAATCCCAGTCCCTTCTTCCTCCCATCCACCCATGCGCCCCACCAATCCCCCATCCCATTCCCCAGCCACTCCCCAAGGAGGATGAGGCCTTTCAGGAGGGATCATAAAAATCTGTCAAGTCATTTTGGGCAGGGCCTATGCCCTCCCCTGTGTATCTAGGCTAAGAGAGTATTCCTCCATGGGAAATGGGCTCCCAAAGTCCATTAATGCACTAGGGATACATCCTGGTGCCACTGCCAGAGGCCCCATAGACTGCCCAGTGCTCCTAGCTGACACCCACATTGAGGAGGCCTGGTTTGGTTCTATGTTGCTTCCCCAGCTGTCAGACTGGGGTCCATGAGTTCCCACTTGCTCAGATCAGCTGTTTCTGTGGGTTTTCCCCAGTGTGGCGTTGACCCTTTTGTTTGTCACTCCTTCCTCTCTGAAACTGGATTCCAGGAGTTTGGCTCAGTGCTTAGCTGTGGATCTCTGCTTCTGTTTCCATCAGCAACTCTTACAAGGAAACATTTAAGTAGGGAAGCTCACTTACAGTTCCAGAGATTCTGTCCACTGAGGGTGCTACGTCTTTTAGACAACAGGAAGTCAACTGACAGTCACCCTAAGGGAAGATTGAGCAAAGATAGCTCAAAGCTCACTCCCACAGTGACACACTTCCTCCAAGGCTATACCGCCTCAATGCCACTCCCTTTGGGGGCCATTTTTCTTCAAACAACCACAATCCCCATCAATCTATCCAAATGTTACCATAAAACTATTCGTTTTATGTTGTTCACATCATTTATAAGAAAATATCTAGTAATGCAAGGTTCAAGGTAAGATTCATTATACATTAAATATTCTTATACCAGACTTTTTCTTTTGGCCCACCAATCAACTTCCAAATCATGACATGGAGACTTATTATTAATTTTGAATGCTTGGCCTTAGCTTAGCTCCTTTGTGGCTACCTCTTTTAACTTCAATTAACCTGTTCCTTTTTATGTACCTTTTGCCTCAGAGCTTTTTACTTTTCTTTCCTTTTTATATATCTTACTTTCACTGCTTTATATGTCTGACTGACTGGGGTCAGCTGCCTGGCTTCTTGCCTTTGGCCATGTCCCTCTCTTTCTCCCTCTCCTCTTCTTCTTTCATTCTTCCTCTCAATTGTCAATTCATACTCCTTCTTATTCTCTCTGCCTGTCAGCCCCACCTACCCCTCTCTACCTAACTAGTGACTGTTCAGTTTTTTACTAGATCAATCAGTTGCCTTAGGAAGGAAAGGAGAAACAGGAGCAACATATCTTTACATAATTAAACACAGGTCCTCACATCATTAAACAAATGCAGCATAAACAGATGTAATGAACCTTTATGTAGTTAAGATAATATTTTACATCATAGAGTCATCATTATTGTTTTTAATCTCAGAAATGTAAAATTATACAAATATAGGGGCATGTGATCAACACAGCATTCTTATCCAAGTACTTGAGTTCAGTGATCAGCTGATCCCCAGACCATTCAGAATCTGTCTATTTCTGTATCATCACGTTTACACGGGTACCTGGGTATTCCCCCGTCCATTTCAAAATAGTGCTCTGGTCCTTCCTATTGTGTATTTTTTCCTTTGTGATGCTGATAAACAAAAAACATTTCAGACTAGCACATCTTTTTCTCCTAGCCGACAGAGTCACCATTTTTATAGCCTTGCTTTCTAAACAATTACATTCATGTATTTGTTACATATGTTAAGTAATGCTCACACATGAGAATGTATGCAGAGGTCAGAGACAGCTTGCATTTTGACAAATCGAGATCAAACTCAAGTTATTAGTCTTTGAGACAAGCACCTTTGCCTCCTAAACTACCTCACTGGCCCCCTTCTGTATTCTTAACATAGTTCATATTTAAAAGTATTTTCTATTTGGAGCATCTTAAAGCTTTCTTGTTTTTCACACCTCATTCTCCTTTTGTTTCAAGTCCTCACACAGTTTAATTGTTTTTCTCTCACACAGTTTAATTGTTCTTCTTAATGTCTTATTATACATATACACTCATATACATATGTGTACATTTAAACTTACAGACCTAAAACAAATTGTTATTTGCATCCTTCCCTGCTTTATTACAAAGATCCATTGTTTAGCGGGGTTGTTGTTTTAATATGTGTGGGTCTTGCCTGCATGTGTGTCTGTGTACCATTCCTGTACCTGGTGCCCATAGAGGCCAAAAGAGGGTGTCATATCCTCTGGAACTGAGCTATTGAAGGTTATGAGGTATGATGTGGCTTCCTAAGAATCTAATCCAGGTCCTAACCACTGAGTCTTCTCTCCATCCCCATAAACCTATTTCCAATGTTAAAGTCAGAAGTTTATCTTCAGTTTCTTACTTCTTTATATTTTCTTAGAGCAATTAGGTAAATCCCCATTACAATGGGGGGCTTCCTTCTTAAGTATTTAGGATTTACACAGTATTTGTGTGTTCTTTTCTCTCTTCTCAAAACTTGTGTTGCCACCTAATGTTCCTGCTATCATGCAAGTCAGAGTCCTTTTCTATAAATAAAAGTCAGAAAGAAAGCTAGTTACCAACAAATGTTTTCCTATCTTCAGATAAAGAAGAGGTTTAGGGTCATTTTCTTCATACTCATTGGAGGAGCCTGTTCTGCAGCAGGGTTGTTTTTTGTTGTTTTGTTTTGTTTTGTTTTGTTTTGTTTTTGCTGGAATTGCTATGTAACTTTCCCAGTGACATTGTCTCCCTTTAAAATTTGCTTTTCTGAAATGAATGTATCCACAGAACCCATGCTGATAGGCTTCTTATTCACAGTTCTGTTACAACCAACCAGCATAAAGAGACATACATTTTCCTATAACTTCCCTGCTCCTTTTCAGCAAGTTCATTAAATAGTGTTCTATGCTGCTTCTTTCCAAGATCACTCATATATGATATAGGTATATAAATTTCCCTTTAGTACACCCTTGAAAATAAGGAATTCTAGACACCTCTAGCTTCCAAGTCTAGACAGCCTAGCCTCATCATTTTTAGTTACATAACCCTGAGCATGTTTCCGAACTTATCCAAGTCTGAGTTCCTGTCAGTAAATTGAACATAACAATATCTTCCAGTGAGATGGACCAGGGCTCCTCTTATCCACAGTTCAAGTGCTTTTCCTCAGAGCACTCCTGGCAAGTCTTTGTAGGCGTCCTTGTACTAATTGGCAAGATGGTATTTTTTTTTTCCACAGCTTACTGTAGCTCACATTTTTGTGTGGTATTTTACTAGGCATGTATATACCCCACGCCTCAGTGTGATTCCCAGCCACACTTTGGAAATAAACTAATGTGCAGACATTTTCTCATCATGCCTTTCTTATTTTTATTTCCACCCCATTATGCCCCATGAGATCCATTTTGCTGGCTCACATTTGTCTCATCCACTTTGCTCCTGATAAAGCAATCTTGAACAGCACAGTCTGCACTACTAATGCACAAGGCAGTACTGCTGCAGCGCATCATATTTCTATCAAGTGGCGTCCAAACAACAAATCATTTTCCCTACACTGGTTTGAATTTGTTGCCTTATGATACCATTATTACTGGAATTTTCTTCATTTTTATAAATAAAATTGTTTTGTTTGTTTGTGTTTTTTGCCTGGGGCAGGGGTGTTTGTTTTTTGAGACAGAGTCTCTCTATGTAGCCCTGGCTGTTCTGAAACTGACAATATAGACCAGACGGGCCTAGAACTCACAGAGATCCACCTGCCTCTGTCTCCTAGGGCTGAGATTAGAAGTATGGGCCACCACTCATGGCCTATAAATAAACTTTCTATTCCTGGTCTGATTGCTGTGATACTTTGTCTTAACTGATAACTTTACTCAACTATTACATCTTGTGGTGGAAGAGACACAGTGTTTCTTTTGAGATTGTCTCAATGCAGGATCATATTCATATGGTCACAGCCAGTGTGGACAGGTGGTGCTTGTCAGCACAAGAATATGTACATATGTTTCTTTTCTCACTGCACTGTTCATTACCTCCCCCTCATGAGTAGCCTAACCCAGAACACCCTCAACAAGCAACGTTGCTCTTGAAACCCCACTTATCCACAGAATTCTAACATAGCACAAAGCATTTCATAGCC